GAGAAAGCTTTACATCATAAGCATGGGCGTGCTCAAGATTTCAGCATGGCTGTGCTCCCTCACCTGAAGCCGTCGCGCCAAGAATTATCACGGAACCTCTTTCCTTTTTATTCAATTGCCCTCTTTGCATGCTTTTAAGTTAATTGCTTTCAAACATTGAGGACAATGTTTCGCTTTAAGTATGGGGGAGTAGTTCCTAATTATATGATTGTTATTTGCATGTTACTGAGTAAAGTGCCTATACTATTTTTATGATAATTTAAAACTTTTTTCCTCATGGAACCCAATTTTTTCCAGATAGAAGAGCATGTTGAGTGATTATTATTGACATTATACTTTCATTTGGAAACTAATAATTAGCTGAGTTCCTTACTTTTATGCTCTACATTAAACTTTAATCCATAGATGTGAGTTTTGAGCCTTAAAGGGGATTTCTATCTTAATTTAATTAATTGTACCCTTTTCCTCATTGTTTTGTGTGATTATCTCCTTAGGTTTTGTGCTCTAGAACTTGACTTGGAACTGACTTAAGACTTCTCTTTTTAATTGCATGTTTTTAATATGATTGAGACATAATAGGATTTTTATTCTTGGCCATTAGCATGTTTGAAATACAACTAGTTGCCCACTTTGAGCTTTATTACTTTTCTTGGTTCTTTACATTAAATTTATAAAATATTTTGATGACCTTGACTTTATGAATGGAGCAATTGAGTTGTTGAATTGCTTGATAAATTCTCCTCTATATCTCTCATGTGCAAAAAGAAAGAAAGAAAGTATGAAAAAGAAAATAAAAAAAGGAAAAAAAAGGGTTATATATGATTGAAAGGAGAGAAGAGTAAAGATATTATTCACATACAAAAATATAAAAATTACTCCAAGAGCTTCATTTGTAAACTTAGGGGATGTTTATAATTTTTATAATTTATTACCCCTTTGTATATTCCCTTTCTTTCATTTATCTCACCTCAATTATTATAACCCCTTGGCCACATTATAACCTGAAAAAGACCTCATGATTTTTACTTGTATTTAATTTATTTAGTGGAGAGTCGGTTTATAGTCAAGCCTATGGTAGTACACTTCTCTTTAGGAGAACTGAGTGATGTCTTATTTTGTCCCTTAGTGAGAGAGGAAATATAAGATTCTAATTAGGAATCCTTTTGATTGCTTATGCTCAGTAATATTGCTTTTGTTGCTCTCTTTATCTTCTTTATCTTGGGTTCCTTATGTGGTATTATGTTTTAAGTTATTTTGTATTCTCTTAACTAGCACTTTGCTTGAGGAAAAGCAAACAGGTAAGTATGGAGGAGTTGATAAGTCTATAATTAGACCCTCTTTTATGACCCATTTATTCATATTTGACATTTATTTAAATTGGGTTTTACACTAATTTAGTTGTTAATTGTGCAGTTTGATATAAAGAAGGCACAAGTAGATTTTGGGTACATTTTGGGCCCAAGTGAAAGGGGTTTAAAGCCTCAAAGCAATAAGCATGCCCAGTGAAGCACGGGGGTGCATGACCGTGCTGCACCATCATGCACGGCTGTGCTTTCTTGTGTTAGCCAAACTTACCAAGTTCAAAGGAGTTTAAATTCTATAAATAGAGGGAAGAAAGCATCGTGAAGGACAGCTTTTACGGAGCACAGATTTACACAAAACCTTTTCTTCAAAATTTCAGATCATTTCCACCCTTCTCGTAGGATCGTTGGCACACCCTTGGCAAAACTTAGCGCTTCAAGTGACCATACTTGAAGACTGAAGATTCATCTCCTATTCTAGTTTGCTTTACTGCTTCATTATGGATATGTTATTGATTGTTTTAGTTCTTTCTTTCTCTATGAGTAGCTAAATCCATAGCTAGGACTATGGGAATTATTGTTTATGACTTTATGGGATTTTGATATTTGAATCTAAATATGATTTCCGTTTCATGATTAGAATTTATCTTATCGTTTCTCATTCTTAACCCTAATTAATTACATCGTCAGACGATCGTACCTCAGGTAATTAATAGATCTATAGGATAAAACGAGACAAAAGATTAGGTAGACCAAACAAATCTTCATCTTCTAATCGTTATTGAATTAACAAATTCATAGGCTCCTTAGGCTTTTTTTAAATTAATAACTTGCATGACTATTGGGGATATTAACTTAGAGAAAAGAATATTAATACTGCATGACCATTGGGTATTAATAGTATTAGTATGAATGATTAGTAATCACCAAAACATGCTTTGTGTTTCTTACTCTTAGTTTTTACAATTGATTTTATAAATTCTAGTTTTGATTAATCTCGCATATTTGAAGCTCAAACAATTAAATTAGGAAAACTCTTAGTAGTTGATAAACAATCCTTGTGGGACGATATTTTAGAAACTTAGTTGAAAACCCTTTATTACTTCTCGATGGGTACACTTGCCCTCCGAACAAGGGTCCCTCCCAATTTGTAGCTAACTTGCCCTCTTGTCGGTCCTGTCGTGCCTCCCCTGTTACTCGTCATACTAAGTCATCTACATAAAATTGTCTTGGGTTGACTTTGGAGTTGAACTTTCTTGCCATCATCACTTTACTAGCCTCAGTTACTATTGCTGCTTGACCGCGTACTTCGTTCAGTAAATCCAGGTTGACAGCTAGGGATTTGTCATTGGCCGATTCCTCAAAGTTTTGCCTCCGAAATGATGGTTCTCCAATCTCGACTGGCACTATGGCATTAGTGTCATAAGTGAGCTGAAAAGGGGTCTCTTTTGTAGTCGTTTGGGGCGTACATAGATAAGCTCATAAGATCTCGGGTAACTTCTCCGCCCACTTGCCTTTTGCCGAACCCAATTTTCTTTTGAGTTCATGTAAGATGACTTTGTTGGCAGCCTCGACCTGACCATTAGTCTGGGGATGTTCAACGGATGTGACCCTATGTTTGATGTGGAGCCCTTCCAAAAATTCATTAAATCAGCGATCCATGAACTGTAGCCCGTTATTTGTAATTAGGACATGAGGAAGACCAAAACGTGTAATGATATTTTTCCAAGTGAACTTCTGGACATTATTGGCCGTGATGGGGGCGAGTGGTTTGGCTTCAATCCACTTGGTGAAGTAATCCACAACGACAATTAAGAATTTACATTGCCCTTTTGCCAAGGGAAAAGGACCGAGAAGGTCCATTCCCCAAATAGCAAAGGGCCAAGGAGAACTAATGGGGTGAAGAGTGTTAGCGTGTTGATGTAAATGGGGACCGTGTTGTTGACAGGGGATGCATTTCTTCACAAATGTTTGGCAATCTTGGGTGAGTGTCGGCCAAAAGTATCCGGCTCTAAGTATCTTGGCGGCCATGGTACGTCCACCTGAATGGGTACCACAGATACCTTCATGAATTTCCCTCATGACATAGCTGGCTTGATCTTCATTGAGACATTTAAGTATAGGCATTGAAATTCCTCTTCTGTACAATTCGTTGCCGAGAATGAGGTACTTAGCTGCATGCATTTGTACTTTCTTAGCCGAAGCTGGATCCTTTGGTAAGTTGCTGGTGAGGTACTGAATAATTGGAGTCATCCAATTTTAAGGCATATTTTCTATGTCCATGCACTCTTGTTTGGCCATACTAGGTTGAGGGATTTCCTAATGAATCACGCTTTGTAGTTGCCTAGGTTTTCTTTGACTAGCAAGCCTATCGGCTTGTTCGTTCATGGTTCTCGGTGTGTGTCGAACATGTACTTCGTCAAATTCATCATTTATATTTTTGAATTCTTGATAATATTGAAGCATAATAGCATCCTTCACCTGATATGTTCCATTGACCTGTTCTGTCACTATCTTTGAATCGTTCCAGCAAGTGATGCGTTTTACTCCAGTTTCTTTTGCCAACCTGAGACCCACTAGTAGAGCTTCATACTCAGCTTGATTGTGGGAGGTTTTGAATCCAAACCGAATAGATTGTTCAATAGTTACGGTGCTCGGCCCTTCAAGTATAATTCCTGCTCCACTACCTAATCGATTTGATGATCCATCAACATGTAGGTTCCACATGTCGGAGCTAGTGTGTTTCTGGGCCGTGAACTTCTTGACGAAGTCTTCAAGGATTTGTGCTTTAAGAGGGCGTCGGTTTTCGAAATGGATATCAAATTGGGATAACTCAATTGTCTATGTTACCAACCGACCAGCCAACTCTAGTTTTCTCAACACTTTGGCCACTGGGCAATCTGTACGTACCACCACCCGATGGCTTTGGAAGTAATGTCTTGACCGACAAGCTGTGTGGACTAGGGCCAGCACTACTTTTTCTGTTAACTGATAGCGTGATTCGGGGCCTTGGAGTGTTTGGTTTATGAAGTATACAGGAGCCGGTTCAGGTGTTTCTTGTAGTAAGACCGAACTGATGGCATTATCTGACACAACCAAGTAAATAATCATATCTTATTTTGGCTTCAGTTTTATCAACACAGGCGGTACTGCTAACATATTTTTATATTTGACGAAGGCCGCTTCACATTCGTCAATCCAAGTAAACTTTTGGGATTTTTTAAGTAGGTTAATGAAAGGCTGAGACTTGTCTGCCATTATTGGCAAAAATCTGGCAAGGGTAGCAATATGACCTGCAAGTCTTTGGACCTCCTTAACATTCCGGGGACTGGTCATTTCGATTATGGCTTGGCACTTGTCAGGGTTTGCCTGGATTCCCCTTTTGGATAACATAAAGCCCAGAAACTTGCCACCGATGACCTCGAACGTGCACTTTTTGGGGTTAAACCGCACCCCGTGTTTCCTGGCTTCCCCGAATACCTCTTTTAAATGAGCAAGATGCTGTTCCATGGTAGTAGATTTAACCACCATGTCGTCTACATACACTTCCATGCATTTTCCCACTTGTCTCTCAAAAATTTTATTCATCAGCCTCTGATACGTTGCCCCTGCATTCTTTAGGCGGAATGGCATTACTTGAAAATAGAAATTTGCCGAGTCCATGATGAATGCCGTCTTTTCTTCATCAGGGGAGTACATTCAGATCTGATTGTACCCAAAGTAAGCATCCAAAAAACTGAGTATCCTGTGACTGGCTGCACCGTCCACCAGGGTATCAATATTTGGTAGAGGATATGCGTCCTTTGGGCATGCCTTGTTGAGGTCCGTGAAGTATGTGCACATTCGCCATTTACCATTTGCTTTTTTAACCATGACCACATTGGCCAGCCAAGTGGAATATCTGACCTCTCGGATAAAGCCGGCCTGCAGCAACTTACCAGTTTCCTCCTTCACTGCCTTCGCTCTGTCGCCATCGATCTTCCTCTTCTTTTGTGCTATTGGTTTGGCCCCCTTCTAGACCAATAAGTGATGATAGAGAAATGCAGGGTCGATGCCTGGCATGTCAGAAGTCGACCAGGCAAACAAATCAGCGTTACGTTGCAATATTTTCTCAAAGCCTTGCCTCTCTTGTACGAATAGACCGACCCCAAGATAAGTAACCTGTTCAGGCTTAGGTCTAAGCTGGAAAGGTTGCTTATTTTCGTTGGGTTCAACTCGACACCCCTCATCAACCCTAGGATCTAGCTCAATCTCCAAGGCCTTCCCAAACCGAGGGGATACAATATTGACATCTCGTCTACAGTCTTGAATTGGTTTGAGGCATAGGCTTGCAAAATAGCATTCCCTCGCTGTCTTTTGGTCAGTATGGATTGTAACAATTCGGCCCCTTTCTGACGAAAATTTCATAGCGAATTGAGGAGTAGACACAATGGCCTTCAACTTGTTAAGGGATGGTCTGCCGAGTAGTATATTGTACGAGGTATTCGCGTGTACTACCAGGTAAGTGACCTTGATACGCTTTCTCTCATGTCTGACCCAAATGAGGTGTAAAGGTTGATACATCCCCGGGTCTCTACTTGTTCCCCGGAGAAACCGACCAGGAGTTCTTGATATTCTCTGAGTTCTTCTTCTGGTATGCCCAGCTGCTTGAACGTATTCCAGTACAGGATGTCAGCCAAGCTCCCTTGATCAATTAGTGTTTTCCGGACAGTGCAATTAAGGATGTCCACACTTATGACCATGGGATCATCCTATTCTGGATCTATTCTCTAAAAGTCTTCATCCGTAAATGTAAGGATTCGGATTCCATTGCCCAATGACACATTGTTGACGGAGCGTACTTGCCTCAAATGTCTTTTTCTAGCTGAATGGGTGGGTCCTCCACCTGCGAACCTACCAGTAATGGTATTAATAACCCTCTTAGGATACTTCTCACGTTTATCGTATCATGTGGTGGGAGGTTCCCTTGATCGACTTCGTTGCCTTTCGGTTGCTTATTATGGTACCTTCTTGATGCATCGGGGTAGAGGTCTCTCCTCCTTTCGGAATGACCGGTGGGGTTTGTCTGCACAAATCCTCTAAGGTGCCTGTCCTTGATCAAATCTTCAATTTTATCTCTCAAGGCCGTGCACTCCTTTGTCGTATGGCCCCTATTGCGATGATACCGGCAAGATTTGGGCATACTCAGGATTTCTGTTGCCAAGGCCTGATTAAGTAACCTGGACCGGTTAGTGTTGAGTGTAGTGTAGGAAGGATATTTGGGCCCCTAGGCGGCCTCTCTAGCTCATTCCTTCTTTCTCTGTTTTCTTGCCGAGATTTGAAAGTTTCACTTTTATCTATATTTTTTGAATTGGACCCCTGGTCCATCTGAACTTGATTTCGGTACTCGGCCAATTCCTCCATCTGTATATACTTTGCAGCCCGACTTCTCAATTCATCCAGGTCAGCTGGTGGTTTTTTGCATATGCTGTTAACGAAAGGACCTGGCTTAAGGGTCGTTGTAAGGTGGTGCATGGCCATGACTGGTTCCAGATTGGATTGAAAGGGTCACTTTGCCGAATCGTTCCATGAACGCTCGGAGTGATTCCCCTTTTTCCTGATGAATGTAGACAAGTGCTAGAGATGTCAAGGGGTGAGGTCGACTTGTGGCAAATTGGAGGTTGAATCGTCTTGTAAGAGTTGCAAAAGAGTCGATAGATGAAGGGGGGAGTCAGGTGAGCCAACTGAGAGCTGGTCCTTGAAGCGAGGTAGGGAAAATCCTGCACCATAAGGCATCATTTTCTGTATACAGGGTGACTAGGGTCATGAAAATATCCAAGTGTTATCCTGGGTTAGACGTCCCATCATATTTTTCTAACATTAAACCTCTCCAGTTATCAGGTAACTTGGCCTCCAAGATAAGCTGAGTAAAGGGCTTCGAGTCGGGCCATCGCCCCGTTCAGTAGGGGTTCCAACTTGTAGAGTTCCCTTGGGTTTTTCTTGCAATGCCGAAGACTCTCCTTGCTCTTGAGCGGAAGGGGTAGTCTGAGAGGGTATATGGGTTTTGACTTTCCCTCTCAAGTTAGCATTCTCCCTTCTTAAGGTCGACATCTCAAGAGCGTCTTTCTCTCTGGCCTGTTGCATTTCCTTCATCTCGGCCTGGAGCTGTCTTACTACAGAAAAGAGGCTTTCATCGCCCCCCTGGCGGCCACAACTTCAGAGATCTGTTGATTGGGTGTCACACCTTCCTGTTGAAGAGAAGTTCCTCCTTGATAAATCTGCCCCTCTTGTTGGCTTCTTGTTAATACCATGATGATTGAAAAAGCAAGGCAATTCGTGCCCCACGATAGGCGCCAAAATGTTCCTGCTATAGAAACACCAATCTTCGAGTCTTTTCCTGAATAGGGTGATGTCCTTCCATTTCTTGCTGACGTTGCATGACGTGGGGAGGGTACCTGCAAAAGGCACTCCAATGCTGAAGTCAGGTCTAGGCTCTGAACAGTGAATACTATTATTTTTTATTAAAAAAGTCTCCCTACCTATACTTCTTACCTTCTTTTTATAGGAGATATTATGGGCTAATAGGCCTTGTGGGTCAGCCTTGATCCTGATAATTAATTTATTAATTATAATTAATTTATAATTAATATGCTTTGTGAGGTACTCGTCTTTTGTAGGCCAAGTAGGTATTCGGTTTCCTCTTTCTGTAAGTAAGACCGAGTAATGTCCTATCCGATACACAATGCTTGTTTGATTTATGTAGTGATTAGTTATATTGTATTCATTAAGCAATTAGAATTGCCTTAATATATAATTTATAAATAATTTACTCACCTTTTCTTTGTTTTGTGTTTATTAACTACGTACTGGATACAAAGTGAGTGTTGGGGGTATACTCATTGACCTTGAGTAGAACATTACTTTTAAGGTGGGAGCTGAAGATTGGAGCTCTAACTAAACAATTATAATTATGGGTTATGTCATATTGACAATTACTACTATGAATAACCCTAATATTGCCTTTATATTCATGTAAGATGCAGTGAGAGTTAAGATTCCTTTTCCTATGTACTACGCAGCATCTTATTTGAGCCTCCATGATGATTCCCCTTCTAATGGGTCAGAGGATTAATGGAGAGGGGTCAGATAGGGTATGCAAAAATGTGTGTGTGTGCGCACTCCCTTTCTATGTGGAGAAAAGCCCAAATATGTTTGCTTATTGTGTCTCACTAAAATTAATAAAGAGGGGTCAAATAGGGTATGAGAAAAGAGTGTGTGTGTGCTCCCTTCCTATGTGGAGAAAAGCTCAAATATGTTGGCCCGTATGAAAAAAAGAGAGGCTCCTAACATGAAAACATTGAGAGAAAAAAGAGAAAGAGAATCATATGTTATTTTCACACATCACTAGAGCATTATTTTTCAGATTGCAACTGCAATTTCGTTCATAGTGGATTGGGCTGATTTTTTGACATGTTTGTAATAAGTGAATTTTTATTTTGTCTAGTTGGATCGTTGTAAAAATGTCTAGAAAGAGAGAAATAGATATCTCAATTTCATGTTCTGCAATTGGGTTTTTTCATCTTCTTGTTTCTTATTTGTAAGCATTAGTGCTTTGTTTGTTTGAGTTGTTCATAAGCACGGTTTGTGTACTCATTGGAGTCCTTCTTACACCTTTTATTGATCATAATGAATTATTTATTTGGTTTGGATGACCCGTGATTTTTAACCCTTGAAGAGTTTTTCCACATTGCTATTTTATAGTTCTGTTTTTGCTCTATTTTTGTTGCTACTCCTCACCGATTCTTGCAAGTTTAGGAGAATCTCTTTTGCTGCTTATTGTTCTCTTATTGTGTTTGTGTTATTATATTAACATTCCCTCGTCAATAATCACTCTCCAATCTTTTCTTTTAAAAGTATTTTCACATATCAACTGCTCTGTTAAATAACAAGAATAGAGAATAATTCCAAATAAATAGTTTCGAAAGTTTATTTTAAAGAGAAGTTTAACGCTAACCATTCTCTAAATTTCTTATTAAAAATTAATTTCTATTAATCATTATTCAAATTTATTTTTTATAAGCTCCTTCCTAGTGTAATGTTTCTACAATATCATTTATGTAAATAAGATTATCAAATTATTTAATATATTTATATAACTTATACACCAACTACGATTAGAGTTGGATTATAATAGATTTATATTTACTTTCTATATTTATGACTAATTTCATATAAATTTTAGTAATTAATAATTTTTTTAATATTTTATTTTTAAAAAGAGAAAATTATTTTTGAGAAGAAAATCATACAAGCTTTGAGTCATTTGTATTTAAATTTTATTGATTTCTTAATCTCACTTGCTAAATAACATTTTTAATTTCAATACAATATAAATACAGTTTTTTATTTTAAATAAAAATACTAATTAAAATAATAATAAAGGTAAATTATATGTTATTATTATTTAATATTTTTAATAATAAAAATAGTATTCATTTTTTTATATAGGTTAAATGTTAGTCTATATAATTATTTTTATTTTTTATGCATATCTCTTCTTATATGTATTTTTCAATTTTTTATATTATATCATTAATCATATCTTTTCTTTTCTTTTTTTCTTTAATTTTCTTTCTGTCTCTTTTTTTCGCCTATTTGATACCTTACTTTAGAGTGTGAAACAATTATTTTGCTATTGCTTTTAAGTTTTGTTCGGTAAAAATGAAATATAAAAAGTTAGAAATATTCACTGTTTTTTATTTTTTACATCGTGTAAAAAAAAAGGAGAGAAATTTTTTTATATCTCATTAAAATACTTCTTAGATCCATTTATAACTTCATATTTTTAATAGGGGCGGTGATTTATTTAATATTTGTTTTTATTTTTCTCTTATTAAATATTTTAAATTTTTTTCTTTTTCACATTATTTTCCCTTTTACTAATTTATAACGACATAGAATTCTAAGCTTCTTTGAGTGAAAAAATTTGGCTTATAGTGATTTAGGAAAAAGAAAATAAAAAGAGAAAACAATAAATTATAAATTTAATTCAAATAAAAAATATTTAAAATAAATAATTTTTATAGTTCACTTTATATTATATATATGCGGGGCGGTGATGCCGCGTTAAGTTTATAATTGTGCAGCACTCAATCTTATTTGTTTCCAAGAATTTTTGGTTGTCAGAAAAATATTTGAACGTTGAAATAAGATATTTTGTGCCGTTTTTTATTTTGTGAGGTTAGTGAAATTTGGGGCCTTAAAAAGTTGCAGATCGCAGTGGTATAGTGGTGGGGCAATAGTGAAGTTGAGCCACTTGTTGTGGACACGGAATCCGTTTACATTGTGGCCTAAAAGGTCTTTGACTCGCTTTTTATATAATGACTATTACTTTACCAAATCAAGATAATGACTAAAAACACGAAGCTGACGGTTGGGCAATGGCTCTCATTTGATTCTGTAACTTTTCTATACAACTCGATTTCTATCGCTGACAATTATAAAAAAAAAGGGTTAAACTAAACATTTAAATGGAAATGATGCTCAATAAAGAAGAATAAAGATTTGAGTATAGTTTTATCTTTATATATTCATGAGATTTTAACTTTTTAAAAGAATATCTTTAATCATATATATATATATATATATATATATATATATTCACATAAATATGCACTTATCTGAGGAGTAAATATTGGTTAACTTATTCTACTTAATAATTTTTTAAAAATATTAAATTATATAATATAATTATTGAATTATA